AGATAATTCAAGGGGAAAACAAATGACCAAATCTAGAAATTTTAGACAATATAAGAAAGAAGAAAATATCTAGGATACTAACTATAAAACTCAAATAACAAGCAGTGGTTGAAACCCACAAAAAATCCCTTAACTCTGACAACGATGTTCGATGAAGAGAAATGGAGGTATATAGAGAGAGAAAATAGAAAACCCCCCTGACACTACACCAAGAAATCTTCTGATGGCGATGCCACCTCGCAGATGGTTCAACTCCAATGGTAAATATGCTGCGCCAAAGATCATCTTACACCGGCACGCGCGATTACTATTGGGAGAGAAGAGAGATTAGGAAGCATAATAGAGTGAGAAGGGAATGGGGGAAATAATTAATATTTTTAATTGAATTGGGTGGATTAATTATATAATACATGATTTGTGAATAATTGAATTTGGTACTTGATTTTTGAATTGTGATGTTTACACTTCTGATTTTGTGTAATTTCCACTTAGATCTATTCCATCTTCCAACCCACCAATATCGTGGGAAGGATTGGTCCAATCCGTAATTTTCTTTCCTCATCCAGTCTAGTCCTCCGGTTGGACCTAACTAATGAGATTCGGGCTCAACCCATTTGTAAACATTATCACTATTCCAATATATATATATATATATATTGTGAGAAAAATGCAGCTGGAATTCGTATTTATACCAGGAAAACTGAATTTTTAGAAAATAAAAAATATATATATTTTAGAAAGAAAGAGTCGTCTATTGGGAAACGGAAAGAAAACTCAAAAATACATTTACTTACTAATTTCAAAAAAAATAATGATGGTTGAATAGGGTTAAAAATAGAGAAAGCGTGAATTATTTCAAAAATGATTTCAACCAGCATTTGGATTTTTATTTATTTATTTATTTATTCCTTAAAGTTTTCAAACTGTCCATTTATGATTCAACACTTGTCCCCCAGTTTTTGACCCTATTTTTGTAGCATTTCTGATTCAAAATTATACATCCATGATTACAAAGCTGAAAAGGGAACATAGAAAACATAGTGTCTTGCTTATGTTGACGATCATTGGTACATAAAAACGAGTACAAGCAAAACTAAATGGTAAATGTGAAACAACAGAGAGATGACACATATTAGCAGAGTTCCAGTCTGCTGTAATTTCATATAATTATACAGCTATTGCAGGTTAGAAGTCTTCTTTGTTGCAAGTTCTCTAGAATAACCTCCAGCTGCATAATTATTTCTCCGAATGAAGGCCTGCGATCCGGATTCTTGTGCCAGCATTCTTTAAGAAGCCTGCCATTGAGTTCAAGGTTTTCATCAGGCAAAAACCAGATGTAACCATATTTTTTATGCTGCGTTCACTTGAGAATTTTAATTCCAAAATAATGACATGACGATTTCAGTATACTTGTGAAATGAGAGGAAAACAGATTGTATTCGTGCAAAAGAAAATGCATTATGAAGAGCGCTTCAGTTTTCTCGATGACAGAGAGATCATTTTGTGTGAAAAACACGGTAACACTATCAAAGATAACTCAGTGTGTCTTTTCATGAACTTTCAATGGCGAAAAGTAGAGGGTACGGATAAGGAATATTCAATTGACTCACTTGTTGATGGGTTCAGGGTACAGAATTGAGGAGAGAGGTGGTCGTGAATCTTCATATGCTCGTCTGTCTGCCAATATCTCTGGATTTTCTCCCCTGTTCGACGGCCCCCCTTGGAACATCTGTAGACAATCCATGGCATCATTTGGAAGGAATTTGCTAGGATATGATTAGAAAGCCTTCACATTAGCTGAACTTAGAATATGTTTTCAGTTTACCTCATGGACAACCATAGCAAATGAGAAGACATCAACGCTCTTCCCATACGATTCTCGACAGTAGACTTCAGGAGCCATGTAGCGATCTTAAAATTACCATAAAAGCTTCTCGTTAGAATATCTAAAAAAATATTCAAAATAAGTGTATTACTTAGCAAATTTTACATGATCCTGTTCCACCAGTCATTTTATAACCAAGAGCATCTTTTCCCTGTACAATTTTGCTTAGTCCAAAATCTGTGACCTTAAGGCGCCCTGCTCCGTCTTGCAAAATATTTCTACAAGAAATGGTTGACTGATGAAATAACTCTGAGAAAAAACTTAAACAAGTTGAAGAGGATTAACTCGGTTTTTCTTCATTTAATGCGAATAGCTCGTCAGCATGCTGCTCTCTTAAGCAGTTAAGCTTAACATGTGTTGCTTTTAAGTTGTCAAGTTTTATGATAATCAAGATTTTTTATTGATCAAAATTGGAAATAGGTAAATTATTTATTTGACATTAAAATATGACCGTACTTTCAGAATAAGTAAACTTTTTTACTTTAAAGTAATAAATAACTTGTCCAAACATGTTTGAAAATAAGAAGTAACTTTTACGTATTTAAAAGCTTCGCCAATCATGCAAATGTGGGTGGAACAAAACAGTTAAAGATGAATCGTCAGTACCTAGGTGTCAAATCTCGGTGGATTATTGGATGAGGTTTATGCTGATGAAGATAATTCATACCTATGCCAACAAAAAAAAATTGAGTTCAGGATAGAACAGGTTTACATAATACCCAAATACTACCAGCTGATTGAATTCATTTTCTTTTCAGAGAGGGAAGTGAGAAAGCGATCATATTAAGTAAAAGATTAACTCAGAAAAAACAGTTTCCTCTCTTATTAATAGATCTCCCAGATCTACCACTCACTAATCTTTATGAAGTCCAAATCTTATATACAATAAGCATGAGATAATACTGATACACTGTACACCATTGAACAATAATAACCGATGTGATCAAAATCATCTTCACTGATATGGTCGTAAGTATGGCATTTACATCTGGAAGAGATGTTTACAGATGTTTCACAGTATGCATAACTTATGAAAAGGTGCTTGTAGAACACGTACCTTGCTATATCTAAAGCGTAAGAAACTGCAGTCAGCAGATCAAGTCTTCCTTTCTTCCTCAATATATCATATAAGCTTCCCTAGGATTCCAACTTATAGAAGAATTAGTTCATTGAAGTAGAACAATAAGAGATGAGACGAAGATTTATTGGAGGATTTAGGAGAAAAACTCAGTTGTACTGAATGACCAAATCAGTATCTATTCAGTCATACCAGATCTATTTTATACGTAAAATTCCTAAATTTGAACTGAAAGTAACTTGAGAACTAATAATTCTTACAGACATAAATGAATACCCACTTTCTTTTTCTATCCTAACATAAGTTCTGTGACTACTACATTAGGAATGGAATCGCTATCATGTTCATGCTCTCCGAAAACAACATCATGAACTGAACAATACTTACATTTTGTAGATACTCTGCAAGGAAGATTATGCGGTCAGAGTGCTTTAAATCTAAAACACCGAGGTACTCTACTATATTAGGGTGACGCAATCTTTGCCACAATCCCATTTCTTGTAGAAACTTGTCCCTACAAAGCAATCAACAACAGAAACCAAAAAAGCAAAGATAATATATATTATATAGATAAAATGTTGTAAATGATTTGTTATTATGCTAGTATAAATGTTAATCCAGATGGTAGTATAGATATTTGTAATTTGGATTCTAAGATAAAGAACTCTTGAGATCAAAAAATCAAGATTTCACTTTCTACAAGATAGGAACGCCGTTCTCATCCAGACATCCAATAAAACAGCACAATGCAACTTATACAATATTCTTTAAAATATTAACAAGAAACGAGTCAATATATGCAACACAGATGAAGAAATATTTTCCAAGATTTTAGTTGGAAAGTTGCTAAACATATTTGGGAAAATATTTTCTCTCCGCTTGTTATACTACACCTGAATTAAACGTGTTATTCATTTTTCTTTTATCTCAATGCCATTGGGTGTTGTGTACTTGTATCTGCTGATTATAGATTTTAAAATCCAGATTTTATAATGAAAGGTGGGATTTAAAATCTAATAATATTGCATGTGCATGTATTAATATATGAATTAAGTTAAACAATTGCACAGTAGAGCTCACCTCACCATCGGATTAGATGCAACAGAAGAACGAATTGTTTTTGCTGCAACTTCTGTACCTCGCCACTTAACCAAATAAACTTCACCATATGCACCCTGTCATTTATTGATAATTGCATTAGTTTTGCAAGAGGACGCTCTCCTACAAACCAAGAACTAAATTTTCGCACTGACTTGCGTGTTCCCAGGAGTGCCTTTTCACTTTTGGCCAAAAATAAATTAACATTCAAGTTGCTTTGTGGGAACTAATTTGGGTTCAGGTAAGTGAAATTACTTCTCCAATACGAATTGCTTTCCTCATGTCTACCTCAGTGTGGGGAATTTCACAACATGGAGCTGGAGTTTCAAGTCCCACCTGTCTCAAGCATTTAGAAATGAAGTATGTTATGTTACAGGAATGTCAGAAGTTTTTTCATATTGTCGAAAAACTAAGAGACAACACTAATCGTCTAAATGAGAGTGATCACACTAGCGACTTTCAAAGAGGTAGTGCAAAAAGAAATATATAGCAGTTTAATGTCTTTCTTTAGCCTAACACGTATAGATAGGCAATAAAAGTCTAAACAGTTAGCCAACTAACTTCAGTCATGGAATGACAACTTAGGAGAACTTATCATCAAACGTTCTGTTAATGAATCAAGTCTCAGCAATGAGTTTTATTATCATGGAAAAGAACGCCAATTTTCTTAGATATCCACCTGAGCTAGAATAGATACACATTTCTCAACCTCAACACTGTCAGATACTTAACATTTCAAGTAGCCCCAACTTAGTAGTTCAATAACTGGCATACGTAAGAGAGTAGAGAAGAAATGTTCTTTATGATGGTACGGGACACTGATATGAAAAACTTATTCTCGAGCTCAGGCAATGAGGTGGCGAAATTGTTGAAGCATTTGGTTTTGGTATTTGCATTCAAAGATTCCTGTTCTGAAAGACCTTTTTCAACCACAAGGAATAAAGATGATAAAATGGTAGAAGTAAATGGGATTAATAAAAAAAATATAAAAAATAAATTCCCCTTCCCACAATTTCCAACTAAGGAAACAGAGTAAGAGGTGTACTGTAACTTTTCCTATTCTTGCCAAGGGGGTTACTGTTAGGAGGAAAACAGTCCTTATCTAAGTGAAGTTTAATTAAAAAAGTAACGAAAATTCTTTCACGTGATGGGTGTATGTTCTGTATAAGACATGTTGAAAAGTAATATACCGGGTCAATTCCACCATGTGCCTCCAGAATTTTACAGATGTCTTCATGGCCAAAGCTACGAGCATCAGAAAGAGGCTGCAAAATTTATAGATCGTATGACCATCAAGAATATTCCAGGAGTTGTGGAAACTTGGATAGTGCATGGTAAAAAGCTCATAATCCTTAGTGAAGCTTTGTTGAAAATAGAATTGGTGAAAACTCAAATTTCTTTATATGCAGCTACTGATAGCACACTTGCACGCGTGAATTCTCAAAATTACAATTTCAAACTAAACATAAGTAGCATTAGAGACTAAAAATGCTGCATGCTATAAGAAACTGAGAATCGTGGCGATTATGCGATATGACTTTATAAAGCATTGCACTTACAGTGCGACCCCATCGATCCCTGATGTTCACATCGGCTCCTTTCTCAAGAAGTAGGTGAACAATCTCTGTGCATCCTTCACATGATGCTAAATGAAGCGCAGTTCTCTTATCATAGTCCGCCTGATTCGTCTCTACTCCTTTCTCCAGTTCCAGAATAACACCATCTTTATCGCACTTACTTGAAGAAAACAAGAGGCGATACGGAACTTCCCACTCAATTTTTTGAGATGACTACCCCTGCTGAAAAAAAGAAATGAGGTGGCTACGTTTTGTTTCCTCGAATAGTGGAATACAATGCTTCATCATATCTTGCAGTACATACAATAGGCCTAATTTGAAGACACTGTAAATTTTTTTTTATTCCGTAAAAGAAACCAACCGCAAATTGCACTGTTAACTGAGCATTTACAAACGGGTGAGCTCTGCTTAGGGTCATCATTAAGCTAATCAAAATCATTGTCATTGGTACAAGCAAGACCATGAGGACCTTACAAAATCTGAAATAACAAATCACTTGAAACAGTAATTCAGAATTATAGGTATACACTTCCAATTGTATTAAACTTACCGAAAATGCTTTATATATGAACCCAGTAGCAGAATAATCCAATCATGCAACGATCTAAGACTGCATGGTCCATTTGCAATCTACTCACCAGAATTTTCTAGATCTGTCAGTGAGTTTAATTACATCACAATGGGAGGCATCATTCCAATTTAGAACCTGTTAATAAGATTATTGTTGTGCTTTCTTATCACTATACTGTTCAAAGGCTCCAACTTTCAAAATCTCCAAATACACTCACAAAAGTGTAGTTGCCAAAATAGGTAATAACCATTGTGGAGAATGGCATGTCCCAATGATCTTTAAAAAAATTTCCAGTAGTAATTTTAGATTTTACTGCATGTTTATGTGAAAAATTGTTAATGATGTCGCAGCGTGTAGTCGTACTGTCAGACAGAGTCTAATTCTTCCGGACTAAAATGCACATGGGAAAGAAGTAATTTGTAATTCCAAATGATAAAACAATTTGACTTTAAAGACTTAACAGTCATCAGCAACGACATAAGTTATCAAAGAAGCACATTCCCATGCTTAAAGTTCTTAGATATTCAAATTTCTATATGTTGTATCTCGCAATATGATATTTATCCCACATATATTTCAAACCCTATCACGTCCTGGACTAATGTAACTGTTTAAACAACTTCTAGAGGCTTGCATGTCAGCCCGTGTACAAACTTTAAGGATTACCTTCGAGGTTGGAGAGTGAGGCCCTTCAGCTTCCATGAGAATAAGAGAAAAATGAGCTGAAATGTGATTCACAGAGACAACTTCACAAACACTGGGTGTTCTCTATAAACAGCACAAGATCAAATTTCAATTCTACCAAACGAGACTAAATAAAGGTAATTTGAACGTGAAACATTTACAGACTTACAGTCTTATATAGTTTTAGTGGGATGCAGGAACAATCCAGAAGAGTCATGATCGAGGCGATGAATCCCATGAAAAAAGTGGATTTTTCTTGCTTATTTATTTGGGTTTGAAATATCGACTGGATAAGAGAACTTTGGACTCTTCATCTAAGATGGTTCGTTGAATTGAGACTGAATATGGGATTTCTTTGCATGAAATATGGCATTGTTCATCCATTTGACTGTTAGAAGGGATTTTAGCATTTTCGTTTTCTTGACATTGCTCTGATTGGAAGGATTGTGACAGAAAAACTAAAGAATGTGCTAAAGGTTGCACTTTGTAGTGTATTCTTTTACGACCCTGTTTGGTATACATTAATGTAAAAATGAGAATGAAAAATATAATTATTACGAATCCTACAAAATAGATAAAAAGTAAAATATGATGCCCGTAATGAATAACGGTCATATTTTTCATTTTAATGGACAAATAATGAAAAACAAACGGGAACTTAGTGAGAGTTCTAATATTCTTCTTGCTAGTTAGTCTTAAATAGACAAGAACACATTTAAGATTTTTTATTTAGCCTTGTTTGGCATCCATTAATTTTCATTTCATTACATTCTATTTTTCTCTATTTTATTTTTAACCATACAATTTTTCATAAAATAATAATAAACGTAACTCAAAAAAAAAATGTCTTCTTTTTCAACCACTCATTTTTCAAAAAAATACTATTTTACCCATTTTCATTTTCACAAAACGGGTGCCAAACAGTATAGTTTCAAGTTTCAATATCTGCCGGCTGCAAAATATATCGGTGTGTCAAAATATATTTATTATTTTTCTCTATTTTTTATTTAATTAATTTCTATCTAAATTATTTTATTATTTTGTTAAGTTAAAAATTGAAACATATAATTTAGATAGTCAAATACGCTCTCTAAATTAAAATATTAATATAAAAAGTCATTTGAAACATGTTTTTAATGATTGACTTTTTAAAATAGAAAATCTCATATTTAAAAAGTCAACTGAAGATGCTCTCCTTTCTCTCTTCCTCTATAGTGTATAGGTTTTAAGTGTATATTTCTTTTTTCAATAGATGAATACTTAACCCTTGTTTGGATTAAATAAAAATAAATTTTTATTAAATTTTAATGAAAAATTGGGAAAAATATGTGATTAAAAACTTGATAAAGATTATGAATTCCATTTTTATGTAAAAAAATAAATTTGAAAAAAAATAAAATAAAAATCAAAGATGACCTTAGTATTTAATAAACACTGAGCACTTATGATTGGGAACAAAAATGTCTCGATTCAAAAATTAGAGACCAACTTGTCGATTAAATAATTAAAAATTAATGGGTAATTATATTATCACCACAAAATTTATTAAGTCCCCGTTTGACCCCATTCTCATTCTTTTTCTTTCTCTTATTTTCAACTACACAATCTTCTATAAAATAATATTACACACAAATTAAAATTTTTTCATTCTTTTTCAACAACACATTTTTCAAAAAACACTATTCCAACCATTAAAATTTGAAAAGAATAGGAGCTAAGTACACCATAATCATTAACTTTATTCCTTATTTACTTAAATAGCCTCAAGTAAAATTACATAATTAGGATTAATATACTTTTAATTAATCACACCACAAACCTAAACCTAGGGATGTAAATCGGGCTCGTCGGATCTTGTGCCCGTGGTTCGGCCCGAAAAAAGCTCGAGTCGGCCTGTGTGGCTCGCCGACTTAGGCTCGTAAATACCAAAATCAAAACCAAAACCAAGCATGCCTGGCTCGGGTCGAGCCAAATTTTTTTGGCCAAATTGCTCGAGCTCAAAAAAAGGCTTGCTCATTTTATTCGAGCCGAGTCCGAGCCTCTAGTTTTGACTTGCAAGTCAACTCGACTTGATTCGTTGATATCCCTACCTAAACTTAACTTCTTCTTCTTCTGCTCCTTTTATATATATATATATATATATATATATATATATATATATTTTTATTAGAATTTTTTGTTTTTTCAATTCGTTAGATCTTATAATTGCAAAATGCGACTCTTTACCGAAAGCGGCATGGAGAACATATAATCCAATTTGTTTAATCATTCTTTATACTTTTTTTACTAATTCATTATCTGAGAAGTGAGTAGCAGTAAATCTATCATTTGGACTAAAAGTTATGAATGATGCAGACCAAAAGAAAAGTGAAAGGGAAAAACATTTCAATGATATAATAATTTATAAGATCAACAAGAGAATCAGAATAGTCAGGTTGTACTACACATAATTAATTATGTTACTAAAATCTTCACTCATTTAAATGAATAAATACACAAATATAAAATCATATTTATAATAATTCGTACCAAGAAAGGTTGGCGAAAATGTAAATTTCATCCTTAAAAGTTTTGACTCTCCAAAAAAATTTATAAAATAGAGACCGTAAATATGTATCTCTCCATGAGTGTATTTTAATTTGGCCCATTTTCTTTTAATAACTTTCAAAACATTTCAGTGACCTCTTTAAAAATTATAAATCAAAGTTCATTGACAAAAAGATTCAGACCCATCTTTTAGAAATCAAGTTTTCTTCTTCTTCTTTATCTTCCCCTTCTTTGAAAAAGTAATTAATAAAATTAGTGTGGATGCATCCAATATAAAATGTACACGGTGTAAAGAAATCTCTAGAAGAAAAGAAATTAGTAAATTTAACCAATAATCACTGAACTTTACACTTGATTACTACTTGCTCACTCATCTTTCACATATTACTGAATGCTCACTCATCTTTTCATATAATTACTCATTCACCACTTGTCTCTTCAAATAATTGGGCTACTTTTACGGCAAATTTTCGATAACTTCCGACCACAAAGAATGTATAATTTTGATACTGTTGAAAAGCCCACGATATCCTCTTCAATTACCACCCAAAATCTCATTATAACTCCAAGGGATTCGATCGAAAAATTGCCTTAAAAGTCGCCCAAAAATTATGAAAATCTGCCCAGATTTTCAGATTTTTTGGGCGACTTTTAAGACAATTTTTCGGCAACTTTCGACCATCAAAACTATTTAATTTTGATACCATTGGAAAGCCCACAATGTCCTCTTCAATTACCACCCAAAATTTCCCAATAACTCCAAAGAATTCGGTCGGAATAAACCCACAAAGTCAGCATCCCGAACTTTGTCTAGATTTTCGCCTTTTCAAGATGCTGATTTTGTGGGTTTATTCCGACCGAATCCTTTGAAGTTATAGGAAAATTTTGGATGGTAATTGAAGAGGACATTGTGGGTTTTCCAATGGTATCAAAATTCGATAGGTTTGATAGTCGAAAGTTGCCGAAAAATTGCCTTAAAAGTCGCCCAAAAAATCTGAAAATCTGGGCAGATTTTCAAAATTTTTGGGCAACTTTTAAGGCAATTTTTCGATCGAATCCCTTGGAGTTATAATGAGATTTTGGGTGGTAATTGAAGAGGATATTGTGGGCTTTCCAACGGTATCAAAATTCGACATTCTTTGTGATCGGAAGTTGTCGAAATTTGCCGTAAAAGTCGCCCAATTATTTGAAGAGACGAGTGGTGAATGAGTAATTATATGAAAAGATGAGTGATCATTCAGTAATCTGTGAAAGATGAGTGAGCAAGTAGTAATCAAGCGTAAAGTTAAGTGATTATTGGTTAAATTTACTCGAAAAGAAATAGATGAAATATAGTTGTGTTGTATTTATTAAAATCTAAAATTCTTTTTTTTCGTATTTTATAAAATTAGGTATATAATTATAAATTTGTTGTAGTATATTTATTAAACCTATGTTTTGGTGTACTTAATAAATTTTGTAGTAGTAACAATTACCTAAAATCAATTGTGTCCTACTAAATATTTGACACTTTGCTGCTACAAAATTTTTATTTACAAATAATAAAATATGAGCATGAAAATGAAATCTGGACTCAGTCGTAGTGCATAATTCACAGCAAACCGTATAATTTCAAATTTTGCAACCCAGCCACCGAAGATATCCCTTCTGTCTCAGATACATCCATAGTCATAGAAGAGGGGGTCAGGGTTCAGTGCACAGTTAAATGTCTACCCGAACGCAAAACCAGAACCCAATTCAAGGCGACGACGTTTCGAATCTCGAAGAAGAAGATGAAGAAGAAGAGGTGTTGAAGCTTGAAGAAGAAGTGGAGCAGATAGCCCAGAAAGTGCTTGAGTACAGAACCACACTTCCGAATCAGCTTAACTCCACGCTCGCTTCTCTTTTTTCTTCTCAACGACCCATTATTCCCCCGACCAGTTTATCCGAAGATGGATCTGAACCGGGACCCGAATCGGAGGCGGGTCACAATCCAGGTGCGTTTGCAAATTTGAATTTTGCTTTAACCTATGTCTCTGCTGTGTATTGTGGCTCTTAGGGTTTGTTGGATAAAGGTATCTTGTGTAAATTTGGAAATAATTTTTTAAAAAAATTTAAGTATAGCTTATTTTATGTGGCTCTGGTTTTATAAGAAGTTAATATTTTTTTACTGTGATATGAAAATTTTCCTTTTTGTTCTCTGGTAAATTTAGATACTGGTGAAAATGTGATTAATATTGCCCTATTATTATTATTATTATTATTTTTTTTTTTTAGTCACTTGAAACTTGTGTCTTCTTGCTTATTTGGATTATATATTGCAGGATTGTGTGACATTTTTATTCATAATATAATATAATTGATTGTGTAATTGGTTGACATGACTGAAACTGGCAAAGCATGGCGGTCTGCATATTGGTTATATGTGACTTTCAGGTGTCCAAATGACGAAAAGTTATTTGGGTATTCAGTTTGCACATTAGCATGAATAAATTTTATTCTATAAATATTCTTTTGAGAAGATCATTTGCTCCACCACTTTCCTCGAAACAGAACCACGGAGATGTTAAACGCTCTGGTTTAGTGGCCACGATTCATCCACCAGAGTGAATCGATTTAAATGTTAGCATTCTCATAGTAAACATGGTATGTGCATTTGTCTGCATTCATACCTGTTTGTGCATGTGTAAAAATGTGGTTACCCTGGAAGATGACTGTGAGTTACAAGTTGATAGTGATTTTGTTCACAAAGGAAGCTGCCATTAGGTTTTGATCTAAGAAGCACGGATATGGATAAGTAATTCGAATACGATACGATACGGGTACGTTGATACGGCCTTTTTTTTTTTTTTAAAAATAAAATAAAATTAGGATACGTGTTATAAAATTTAACATAATTTCATTAATATAAAAAAAATTAAAACTGTTGCATAATAATAAAAACAAAATAAAATACTAAAACATTTTATCGTAATCCTTAATTATCCCAACTTCATTTTCTTAAACATCAGCTTCTCCATTATCATTAAGAATAACAATATCAAGCAGTCCAACAAGTTTAGAGTATCAAATGAGTATCCGACAATGTCCTACTTTTTGGATGAACCTTTTGAATAGAGATCTAATTTTCTTTATAAAAGACATTGATTAATTCAAACATGGTTGAACTGCTGAGAAATTTTTGCATTGAATTTGTGCTTCACCTGGTGCATTATGTTCAAAAATATTTCCTACAGGGCATATGTGAGTTGTGCTTTGACTCAGTCCATTGAAATTTAATCATTCATCTCATACTGGATTTGTATTTTAATTTATTTTTGAGTATATATTGAATGGAAAACTGAAAGGAAAACAATAGGTTGCATTGCAGTCATGAGGCTCTACTTCTCTCCCACGACATACCCAATTTCAGTGTGAATAGACACATATTAACCTTTTCCTTTTATTCTAGCACCATGTAACCCAGAAGATTCCCATATTACCCCACCCTACCTAATTGGATAGCAAACAAACAAGCCAAGACATAATCATAAGTGACCTTGTCCGCAAGGTGAAAGTCCTGGCCAATTACTAATTTTCGAATACCGTGCAGCCGAACCATTTCCCTCGCAAGAATCCCAACTGTGGTGGAAGTGATACAGTGATGTTTCTGCCCGATAAAATTGGTAGACTTATTGAGACGAACAACTAGTATAATATCAATGAAAATCTCATATTTGGTTGCAACCCCCCATGAAATTTCCAAATACTGAATTCGAGTGACTAGAATACAACTATGGGTCTCCTCACATTTGGCCAAAATCATAACAGCTTGGTGCGCACTCAGACCTCTGATTTTCCCCATCCTTGTTTTAGTAGGCCCTACTACAAACTACTACAAAATTTATGGATAGCACCTCTGCATTGCCAACTCCATACGGCTCCATTTGACAGTCCTCATCATCGGATACTTCAAGCTCCAATTTTTCCATGTCATTGCCCACCCCCACTAGCTCCTTGTTTTTACAGCAATGGCCCACTACTCACTTCTGATCATGCATAAAAACCAAATGCTTCTCGCGCTTCAATTGTATGCTTGCATCCGTAAACTGGTTTAAGGAGTTCTTTGATTTGGGTGTTGAATTGAAATCCAGACATGAAATGGGATCCAATTTAGGATATGAAAAGAGATGGTCACTGTTGAACCAGTGTTATCATGGCTGAATGGAGTAACTGGAGTGGAGTGTGGATCAAGAAAGTGGGTGTTGGGTCTGGTCTATCAGCTGCAGATTTTAGTTTACCTCGATTTGAGCCTGAATTAATCAAGACCTGTTGGAGCAAAGCATTAGTGTCTGAACTAATTAAGTCTGTTAGAACAAAAGTTTGTATCCTCCACTTTTTGGGCCAGGTCCTTGGCTTTCAACTCCGGATCCTATGCCTTAATATCTGGATTCAGCCTACTTACGTAGTATCCTTTCAAATTGATCGTGATGCCTTCTTCTCAGGCCTGTTTTGCAATGGCAATGCTGGTTCAAAAGTCTCCGGCAAAAGAGAAGCTGGGACTTCAAAGATCTTCCAATCTTCTTTGGTGATGCCTTCTTGTTCAAGTGAGAGGAATTTCAATTTCTGCCCTCGTGAGAGGAAAGAAATCTCTCAAGCAGTAGGATCTTTAATTCTTCCCAAGTTTACACATGTTGATGCCAATCTACCCCTATAAACAATGCCAATGCCTCACCATCAAAACACTCTGTAGTGGCTTTACACATTATGTGCCTCCAACAACTGATTTATTTAGAAAATGCTCTACCGCTTAGACAGCACCAGTCTGGATTTTCACAGTAGATATATTTTGAGTCGGCCTTGCCAATCCATTCGAAAGTCATCCTCTTTGCTGAATTTTTGCTGCGCTTGTTCAAATTTCTCCATAAGTGACCCCATCTTCTCCAGTTCTTTCCCTAAATCTGTTGCCATTTGCTCTAGAATCGATGATACGAACCTGATTTGCATTGTATTTTTTTTTATATATTTAATGATTAGACTGAATGGAATTACAATGGATTGCAGATCATTCTACAGGCCCTACTTCTCTCCCAAGACATACCCAATTTCTCCTGAATGAACTGATAATATCCTTCCCCTTCTATTCTAGTAGTAGCATGTAACCCAGAAGATTCCCATGTTTGCTGTACCCTAATTGGGGAAAAAAAAAAAAAAAAACAAACAAACAAACAAGCTAATACAAGAGGCATATTGAGGCCTATCATAATCTTCTTCATGTTCTTTGTACATTATTTCCTTTGTTAGGTGAGGATGTCTTCTAGGCAGTTTCAGCGAATCTTTCAAAAATAAACAAACCCAAGGTAAACATTTGGTTGAAGGGAACATTATTTTTGTTTGCATGTGTGCAGCATGTCCTATAATGGTATGCACTGAACATCTTATTCTGAAATTTTTTTTGCTCTGCTTCCACAGAAATATGAAGAAGAAAGTATTACAATGTGATATTTCTATGGCTTCCTCATGTTGTGGCCTTTGTGTCACCTAAAATCTATTACATATTTTAGCACTTAATGTACAGCATTTCTCCATCGCACAGGTGTACCTGTTGAGTCAAATAGAATGGCCTCATTAGTTGGAGAGGATCAAGAGGAAGCTGAGAAGATACAACTCCTTATACAGAAGATCTCAAGTAATGCCTCTACAATGCATATTGTCTTGAAGAGGATGAAAGACTACATGGCAAGGATCGATAAGTTAGAGTCTTCCAATGGAATCATCCATCCAGCTTTTAAAAGGAAACGAACAAGTTGACCAGGTTTTTCACATCAGATGTTTCTTATTCGAATCTGTAGTGTGTGTTATTATGCTAACTTTTTAGCCAGTTTATGCTAGAGGGAATTGGTGGCTCGACATAATACTGCTGATACTAGATATAGTAGTAATTATGTTATAAATAGGTGGATACATTGATTTAATCTGTAACATGATTTAGCTTGTCTTAATCTGTGTTTTTTAAGGGTTAATAGTACGTACACTGTGTTCTTGAAAATTCTCAAATTTGCAATGGTTTTAGCCCTTTTGTTGCTTATTTGGAAGTAAAGTTTTTCTGTTTTTGATGAAACTCATAAATAGATGTTGCATAAAACTGTGGTTTGAAACTATTTCTCTAAAAGAAGATAACTTGTAAGTAAAACAAACAATTTGTAAGCATATTTCTCTAAAAAGTGGCATTTGGTCACCAATTAAGCAGTCTGTTGGAATTTATAAATTGTTACAATAAACTCTTTTCTGACTATTACAAAGTAGAAGACCTAATTTATATAGTTACACATAATTAAAAATAAAGATTTTGTAATGATCACACAATCAACTATAATAAATAATCTCGTAAAATGGGGAAATTTACCAAAGCGAATGGTATCATCATCTTTTCATATATTCAATGTACTCTTGTTACTAACAAGAGTTATATATAGCGGAGCAAGGTCGGTCTTGAGATTTTGTGGGCTTTAGATCAATTTCAAATGTCACACATACATATAATAAAAATTAATTTTTTTTTTGGAGCCTTTACCCAAAGTGGGGCTTTAGGCGATCGCCTATCCCGCCTATAGTCAGGGCCGACACTGCAGATGAGACTAAAGATAACAAAGAATCAAAGGGTGTTTCATCCTCACATTCTATGTATCCAGTTTCAAGAAAAGAGACGAAGAAGCAGACGAAATTAGTTCACAGTCAAGCATCAGAGATTAATAAAACAAATTTCTAATTACCAAATGTTAGCGATAAGATGAAATAAATGGATTAAAACTATGAATCAGAGACAATTTTATCGTCAATCTGGGTTGAAGAAATATGAAACCTGACGTAGTCAGAAGAAGAAGTTTTGATTTGTCTTTGTTATTTCTGCTCATGTATTCTATAAGACGTAGGAGTAGCACGTACCAGTTGTTTTAGGTTTAAGTTTACTCCGTATTTATAATCCTAGGAGGACTTAGCGTCGAACTCCAAGTCCAATTAATAAAAAGAAATTTTTCTGAAGTTTGTACATTGATTTTTGGGCAACTTATAAAAATATCCTTAAAATTATGGATCTTTTAAAAATCATATAAAAAGTTTTTTGAAAGCCAAAAAAATAAATAAATAAATAAATACTGTGTAAAATTAAAAAGTGACGCAATGTCATTTTTTTTTTTTTTTATAAAAGTTGTGTCACTTTTAAAAGTTTAGTATCACTTTTTTTTATTAAAAATTACATACAATTTCACTTTTAATAATGTCAAATTTTAATTTTTTATAAAAGTTGTGTCACTTTTAAAAGTTTAGTATCACTTTGTTTTTTATTAAAAATTACATACAATATCACTTTTATTAAAAAATGATATTTATTATTAAAAAAAGTGATAGAAATTTAAAAAAGTAACGAATTTAGAAAAGTGATACAAAATTAAAAAAGTTACACAGATTCAAAAAAGTGACATAAACTCAAAAAAAGTGACAAACACTAAAAAAATAATAATAATAAAAAATAAAAATAACAGGGTAAAGTGACAAACACTAAAAAAAAAAAAGTGACAAAAATTCAAAAAGGTAACAATTACTAAAAAAAGTGACACAGATTAAAAAAGTGCGGGAAAAAAAAATTGACACACTTAAAAAGTAACAAAATTATAAAAAAGTGACAAACTCAAAAAATGGTCTCCAACTACATTAACGCCGTTTGCCACTCTTCCTATTCTTCGAATCTCTTTCTTCTTAGGCATTTCATTAGGTAAATATTTAGCAACTCCTGCCAGCATCGAATAGACCAAAGGTGCACCTTCTTCAAGCACAAAACCAGCAACTTCTGCTAAAAAGGAATCAGAAGCAATTACCTGTCCTGCCTGAATCCAGAACCCAACCATTTTGTCCATGTCAACAATCTGCTCAATATTTGCTTCTGCTTTCGTCACCAGAATGCATGCTTCCAGCAACTGCCTCCTTACGATTTGCCTACAATGAGGTGTTGATGCAATTTAGGAGTGCAGCTGTGTGCTCTTTCATCAGAATGTCCAACCTGTCAACTCCATAGGCACCAAAAATATGAACAAAGCCTGCCTTTCAATTCCCTAAGATCAATCACTGACTAGGCAAAATACCCGCCAATGGGTCTAGTGATCTTGAAGCAACTGTGCAATGGTGCAAAGAGGATACCAGTCCTCCAGAGACATCCTTGATAATGCTTTCAACATACCAGTTGCACACTGCTTCAGTAGCTGATCCAGTATGCTGCTCTGCTGGTTTTCTCAAAATTGTAGGCCATGTGCCTTAACATCATCCTCTACTCTCCATCACATACATCTTAAATCATTTAGCAAAATCCTATCAAATGGAACAAATATCAATGCCAAAATTCCAATAATTTTCAAACAACAGTGACAAGTAGTACTCCAAAACTTTACCCTCCATTTGCAATTTCATTGTATGGACTGCAAAAACTTAGAAAATGGACAGTTATGCAGAGAATCTTCATATTTACATAATTGGGCGTTGTTTAGATTTGTCAAGTTAGTCAATAAACTTCATAAGGATGCTTCAACATTTTATATAAAAGCCATATGATGTTTATTTAAATACATCATGTCTTTAAATGTAAATGTAAATTGTAATGGAAACATTTTGTCAAACTCCATGATGGTATCTTAGATAATCAAAGGGAAAGAGTGTGTCATTTAATTTTGGGGCTAATCCAAAATTTAATGACAAATTTTTTTATGCATTTATACACAAACTCATCACAATCTTTGCCCAAACCTACTTCAAATATAAATGAACGAAAAATCTACTCAAACTCAAAGTACAACCTCAAAAACAAAGTTTATTTAATATTACCTTCAAAATCATATGAATGTAATTCTTCATGTTTGAATTCCTTCTATACTCACTGATTTTCTCTTGGATAACTTTGATTTATGATATTAATTTACCTACTTTGACCATAGATAAAATCGACCAAATATCAATAAAGATTTATCAAATTCGAGCATTTATAGTGCAAGAAAATATTTTCGCTCAAGATTCACTCCAAAATACCTAGTCTTCCAAATGTGAAACGCTCGTTAAAACTACAAAGAAGCAACAACATTAAATTGGTGTGTGAGGTTACAAAGAAGCAGAAACATTAAGCCCTTGTTTGAGCCCCATTTTTGGGGAAAAAATGAATTTTTGAATGGTATATTGATGAGAAATGTATGGTTAAAAAATAAAAAAAAAGTTTTAGATTTACATGTAATATTATTTTATCGAAGAGTGTGTGGTTGAAATGGTGTCAAAGTCCTGTAGAAAAATGCATTTTTCTCAAAGAATGGGGATCAAACAAGGTCTAAATTGGTGGGTGAAGGTTTCTATCTACAGGAACATTGGAATCGAAGTCGGAGTTGGGAACGGAGGTTTATCGAAAGTTTTTTGATCCTTCTGATTTTTGGGGTTTTGTTTTGGTTTTGAACGTAATTAATACGATAATAGTAGTTTTAGTTAGTATTAAGGCATTAATCAAATACTTAGTTTTTTTAGGTACTATACCTAATTTTCCTTTGATTTTTAACATTCAAATTACAGAAACAAGTAACAAGAAGAGAGAAATCATGTTGCAGACAATACCAAAGGAATAAGTGATCATCAAAAACCAACATATTTTACAAATTACACATTAGGGTAATGTATGTATCACTGTGTTACTTGTAGAGTGTTGTTAAAATATTTCACTTTTTTTTATTATTTAAAAGTAATATTTTACTTTTTATTAAAAAACAAATCAGCGTTTTATGCTGAATGTTCCTCATACGAATATAACGAACACCATTTGCTATCATTATTTACCAACACGGATAACAGAGTATGAAACAACTTCACACCACCACTTGCCAACACTACCATTAGAAAACACGAGTAGCACATTATGTTACTCATCTAATATTACTAGGGATGTCAAAAGGACCGAGCCGCTCGTCGGCTCGGCTCGTCAAAATAGGGCTCGTGAGCGGCTCATTATTTTTAACAAGCCACGAGCCGAAAGTGACCAAAACGGTCAATTTTTTTAAAAAAAGTGACCATTTTCCGTTTGGTCACTGAATTTTTTCTCTGACTGTTCCGATCACTGAAAAAATTTCAGTTTTATTTTTTTTCCCCTTCTACTATAAATACCCCTTAAGGCCCCTGTATCTTTTTTCATATCAATTACTCAATCACTACTCCAACTCTCTCAACTCTCTTTTATTATATCAATTATCGAGTTTTTACTCTCTTGTGCTGCAATATATACAATGTCAATTCAATTTTTACAGTTTATTAGTTACAATCTCAATTCACCCAATTCTCACAATCTCACTACATTTATATTTTTCTAGTTATTATATTTGGATTTCATCATAAATGATCAAAAAAATGGACCAATGCTCATTTGTTGAGAGCTTATTCGATTCGGGATGTGGGCTACATCATGGCGAATCGCCTAGGATGTCGTAAAGTCAATTTCCAAATGAATTTGTCGGTCTAAATGATATACCCATACCTAAAAATGTTCACATTCACGGTCAGAAAAGCCACAATCCAATTGATTTGGATGATATTAATGTTCCCGAAGCGGAACATGAGGACGAAGATGCCGAATTAAACATCTCAAATGCGAGGGTAAAGCAAAAGTACAAAAAACAAGCAAAATGTTAGGATCACTTTAAGTTGATTTCAACGGTAAAAGTCATCGATGACCTTGTAGAATCTAAAGCAGTATGTAAATATTGCCAACAAAGATTGGCATGACAAAAAGGAATTGGTACCACCCATCTCAACCGCCACTACAAAGCATGTGCGGCGAGATATGGACTTCTTCCAGCTGGTCAAACACAATTGTAATTTGACAGTCGAAGCGCCAATTCTACGACTTCACCCCTATCCACGTAGGTGTATTCGGAGGACAATATTCGAACCGAAATGGTGAAATTTGTTGTCGCCACTGAGTTGCCTCTAGCTATTACAGACAACCAACACTTCATCTCGTTCGTGAAAGAATAT